TTTTCAACGTTCGTCTCTGAAGCTCATTCCGGCGTGTTCGCGAGTTGATGGTGGCGCCATCTACCTGAGTTCCGGAGAATTAAAATTCTCTGAAATTGACAGGTCATCACCTCAGCTACGGAATTACTAATTACGTGTGATCAAGGTGATTAAAAATTCCGGTATTTCGTCCAAACGAAAGGTCAGAGTGTTTTATATGTCGGCAATTAGGTCTTGAGTGTGTCCTGTGTACCTGGAATTCTTGAATTGTGTTTATTCCGTGAGTGTAATTTGGCCACCATCTTGGCAAGTGATGTGCTATATATACCGGAATGTGCAGTGGAAAAAAAGGGGTTTTATTTTCGCGTAATTGTACTCCCCCGACGGTTATTGCCCTCCCAGACCTAATTGCCGACATATCCCAGGTCCTGCCCTTTCATTTGATCCCAAATTCAGAATTTTTGACGCATTTTTTTGGCCGTAATTAGTAATTCCGCTACATGCATAAAATTCATAAAAATCTAGTGAATTCTAGTGACAAAAAGTTACTAGATCGCGAGAAGGCCGGGCCTTAAACTGTCGATATGTCTATAACCTAGAAAGAACCCCCTGTGATTTCGATCAGGAAGTCTTGACGCTGTAAATCCCGATAATTTATCGCTTCTAAACTCTGCCACTGAGTGTTGTTAAAACGAGATTGAAAATTTCGTAAATAATTAATAAAATAATTGAGAATCTCTTTGCGAGGTTCCCCAACCAAAAAGGTGAAATTCTAACTGGGTTAATAAAATCTTCAGAAACTCACTGCAGGTAAGTTATAAATTTGTTATCAAAATAAATTCATTTGGTGTCATCATTGAGGAAATTTAACATTTATTTCAATTATAAATTTCTTTGCTGTCGAAAATGAATCCTATTTTTCAAAACACCCGACGAGATATTCAAATTATGAACTTGACAAATTCTTTGCTTTAGGCTTTGGAAAGAAACGTAGATGTTTATTCTTCAGCCGAAATTGAATTATTCCTGCAATTGATTGTGGGGTGTGCCACCATTAAAACCATCAAAATTACTATCAGTATCCAAATCCAATCAATAGTCCGATTCACAATGACTGAGCAATACATACACCAGTTTGACGTGGTCGACACTTCCGTTTGACATTTCCTGAAATGTCATCTGAAGAAACACAGAAGTACTACATAGGAAAAATGAATATTACATGTGTACACTGTAAAGCAATGCATTTCGAAAATGAAAGCGTAGCACAGAAGAAAAACTCTTGCAATGACTGTTGTAATCATGGAGAAGTTGCTCTAGATTCTCTCCCCGATCCTCCTGAATTCTTACGCGATCTATTCAATGGGAATAATGAAAAATTCAAACATTTTTTCGAACGTATTCGCTGCTATAAAAGTTCGTTTAGTTTTGCTTCATTCAATGCCAATCTAATTAATTTTAATAATAGGTGCGCCGGACCGTCCTGTTTCAAGATACAAGGACAAATTTATTATCAGATGAATACATATTTATACCCTTCTGAAAACGATGGCCCATCTCATGGTCAACTCCTCATTGTTGATCAAAATGAACACATATTCGCTGTCAACAGATATCTACATTACGTAAAGACATGGTTAGAGCCCTAGATGTCACAATTCGTGGGTACAATGTCTATGCCCAATCCTATCGAATGATGCATGAAGAAGTACAATCAGCCATGGAAAATGATGATGTGGAAAAGGAGCCAGAAATGCAGCTTATGTTCTCACTAAAACAGGGTATGGACCTAAAGCGTTATAATTTACAGAGAGTCAACGAGGTCGCTGCTGTTTTCAAAACGACGGCTGACGGTAACATTCCGGAGTCTTAGGTTAGCGTTTGTAATAAGCAGACCAAAAGCTGGCAATTTATCAATTCTTTAGATCCAAATGTGGAACCTTGGATTTACGTGTTGTTTTACCCATACGGAACACGAGGATAGTCTTCAAATATTCCATGTCTAAATAAACCTCGATGGATTTCCCGAGCCCAATATGTTAAATATAGAATGGCAGTTCGAAATCAAAACGTATTACGAATGGGAGGAAGATTGTTTCAAGAATGGGTAGTTGACAATTATGTCAAAATTGAAAAAGACCGTCTCAATTTCTGTATAGCCAATCAAAAAACCTTACGTGCTGATAGATATCAAGGACTGCTTGATTATTTGCATCGATCAGCAGATGAAAGGGATTCTAGGTTGGGAAAAGTCATAATCCCTCCTCATCATTCACGGGATCTCCCGAAATATGCTACAACATTATCAAGATGCCATGGCTATCGTACGACAATATGGAAAACCTGACCTGTTCATTACAATGACATGTAACCCTACCGGGCTTGAAATCCAAGAAAATTTACTACCAGGTCAAACTGCGTCCGATAGACCAAACTTGGTTTCACGTGTTTTGCATTTGAAAAAGGAACGACTTATGGAAATGATCGTGAAGGAGTAGTTATTTTGTGATGTTATGGCTTATGTCAATGTAGTTGAATATCAGAAACGTGGCTTGCCTCACGTTCATCTACTGACTTTGAAACAGAATTCTAAAATTACCGCTCCTGACGCAGTTCAAAAATGTATTTCAGCTGAAATCCCAGATCCTGAAGGAGACGTTATTCTCCATAATACAGTCTTGAAGCAAATGATTCATGGTCCGTGCGGAAATTGGTGTACAGATGAAAAAGGACGATGTTCTAAAAAATTGCCGAAAAAGTTTCGAGAAGAGACATCGATGCATGAAGATGGATATCCCGCTTATCGGAGACGCAATACAGGCCATTACGATCACAGTGGTCACTCAACTGATAAACAGTACGTCGTACCTTACAATCCAAAATTATTGAAAATATTCGATTGTCATATCAACGTTGAAGTGCTCATCAATTCACGTATTCTGAAATTCCATCACATTATGTGTTCAAAAAACAAACTGGTACTAGTGTATCGAAATGGACGAATCGAATGGTCAATCGCATTTCAATGTGATTGGACGAATGTAGAGTGTTAGTCCAACGCAAAGTGTATTGTTTCATCTGTGCTTATTATTAATACACGTTAAAGGGTTGACAAGTTATGACAGTCTCAGAACAGTAAGTGGTCAAGTATATGAAACGTTTCAAGGCGCTTGCCTACCGTTAGGTCTCATCGAGGATGACGCAGAATGGGAACGTGCAATGACAAAAGGAGAGGTATGGATGATGCCTAGAGAACTACGTCATTTATTTGTACGAATTTTGATATATTGTCACCCCATCAACCCCGAAGTACTCTAGAAAAAGTTTAAGGGAGCGATGTCTCAAGATTTGCAGGAAAGCATTAATGGCTTCCACGCAAAAATCGAATTGAAGAAAGTCAAAAAAAATAAAAAAGGCGGCTACGAAAACTAAAGAAGTCGAAATCGAATGAGGGCAAGCTCCGGTACGGTCAACAATAGATGGCGTAGTTAAAGAAATGGACGTTAATGTCAAATCACATAATTTCAATGGGTGCTAAAATACAATATATAGCATACTACATATGTGTAATTTCATGCATATAGAGGAAATTATTTTCTTGGAAAAAAGGGATATAAATGAGTAACCACCATAGCGAAAAGCATTGTGGCGACTCCGAAATCGCCTAGCACCAGCGCAGGGAGTGTTGCGCCAGCGCCACGCATGCGCAAACAGAGTTTAGTGCCACGCGATATATAACGCTTCATGTATATTCCAAGACATTTAATTGTATTAATCTTGTTAACTAGTCTTACGACTTTTGCGATAAATATATAGTTGTGGACAATTGAGATGATTCAAGCATCCTGGGGAAAATTGGTGAGACAGCTAAGGCATGACGGTTAGAACTATTAACTTTCATGAGAAAAGTGTTCTAAACATTGTAAATATCTCAGTGACGATAAATCCTTCTAATTTTTCAGTTCAACTGGACAAATGATGATTTGTTGAATGAAAAATGATGCATAAATTTCTTGGTCATTGTTTTTCATTTTTCATGTTGCAGATCGATCAAGTCAGGAAAAAAATCATAAGATGATTGTCCTTCGCATATATGGAACACCTGATAAAGGGGTCTTCCCTATAAAAATAGAATTATTACATCGATTTCGCATGAAAAAATTGTTCGAGAAAAAAATTGGGTTTACACGAAGCAGATTTTTTTATGAATCATTTATGCATGATATGATGAACTTCTGTAATTATAGGAAATGCAAAAATACCTTTCGATGAACACTATTAAAAATTTTAAAAAACCTAGTACATCATTTCTTTACGGAAATATAAAGAATATTTCGATAATTTTTCCCGTCGACAGCACGGGAATTTTACAGAAAATCGTTTTTCCCGCAATAGTCAGCGTATTCATTATTTATTAATAATCTGGTGGTGACAAAAAACCTCAAGAATTCGACTAGAGGACTTTGAACTTCGGTTTGAACAAATGGAAAGATTCAGAATAAAAGTTCACATTTATTAAATTTTTCCCATAAACGAGAGAACATTCATGTGTTTCGAATATCTGCGAAATTTGTTGGAATAAACAAAGGTGAAAGAATTGATAAGCAATTCTCGAATTTCCTACCTCACATCTACATAACGACGTTACATAATCCTGAATCCTTCGCTTCAATAGGTTAAAATGAAGAAGGAAATAATATACTTCGATACAAGTGCGACAGAAAAGTCTCCGTCACACATGCGGCGAATGATAGTTTTTTGGCAGTGATTTTACGTTTTACGAGTGGCGAACTCTCAAGTAAGGTTTGCCAATCATGAATCATTGGACCATTGCTGGTTTGAGATCTGGCGTAAATACTCTTGTAAACTAATAATGGGCAAAGATTAGCCCAAGCCATAGAAATCCATGTATTGAACGCCAATTTTTAACCATAATATGGACCAACATTGACATACTAATCATCGGCAGCCAAAGATTAAACGACGACAATGATATCATAATAGTAATATAACCTAATGGTGATAATGAACAATCGTTATTAAATAATAATTTAATAACTATAATTATTAAAAGATAATTATATTTGTTTTGACGATCACCTCCAGGAATTAGTTGAATGATTCACACGGGGAGCGCCAAAAAATCAAAAATGAATATCAAAAGTTCAAATCAATAAGGTAAATATGTACATTAGGGGGCTCACCTATTTTCAATAGGAAAAAGCAAAAAGTCCGTATTTTGACACACAACCTGATAAGCAACTGAATTCTGGGTGTCGGAAACTGCATTACAATGGGGGTTGGCGGTTGGTTCCTGTTTTATCACCGTTGAAGACATTTAAGAAGTGGTAGAAAGAGAGGTATTGCCACAATACACCACAACCCACTTGGTCCTTGTATTTCGAACAATAATAATAAGTGGATTAAAAGTGGTAGATGGTAGATGGTTACAATAGAACTAGAAAGTAAAGTTCTGGCTACCACCGTTGTGGAGAACAGGAGTGCTGCAACCCTGGTAAGAATTATAAAAGACTAGATTCGGCTCGGGATCTCCGATGGCTGGAAAACATACCAAGACCTTGACCAGGAGGGGTCTTAACACTTAGTTACCAACCACTCAATCAATTTTGTGGATCCAAATAACGAAGTTCACACACAAATCATTCAGGGAAGCTGAAGAGGATACCGAACAGAATTCATATTCAAAAGGGTGCTGGAGAACAACGAAAGGGCTGATGAATAATTCAAAGCGGTGGCTAAGCATTACCCCCCAAATCCATTGCCCGATAACACCGACTGAAATCATTAATCAGATTTAAATTTCGTCCGTTGTCTTAATCGTACTAAAATATAACGTCTTTTCACGATAAGACCTATTGCATTCCGTTTATGCGGGATGGTGAAAAAGTAGATTCTCCTGACGAAAGAGAAGTGAGAGGGCCACACCTTTCAAGGGTCACGTAGGAAGGAAAATCGCAACCAAAGTGCAGGGCTGTACAGTGTCTGTGCAATAAGCGAATTATAATTCTCTCATATAATAAAGACATTGTTGCTTTTACGAGGAAAGGCGGTGAGCAATAAAGAATCCCGCAGTTAATAAACCTGCTAGCCACACGAGTCAAGTGGTAAGGTAGAGGAGGTCCTTCGGGCGAGTGGGGAGGGGGGTGGGGAATTATAGCACGTCATCTAATCGCATAGACACAATACAGCCTTATAAAGAGAAAATCAAAAACATGAAAAAGAAATACAATGTACTAATGATGTACATAAGAGTAACCGAGATTAAAGAATATTATTCTACAATAATCAATATCTCACGTTGTATCCGTTTTCGACGCTTGAAAATTTAGGACCTGAATTACACCGCAATAATTCATGTCTCACCAAAAATTCCATCGAAATCGGGATTGATAGGTACATATTTACAATAATATGATCAATGATCATAAAAATAAATATTAAATAAATATAAATAAACTAAAAACAAACAATATAAATGTCATTGTGATATAAATGAATATGCAATGACATCTATACGGACGATTTTTATTTCCAAATATACGAATCGTGCGACAGTCTCGTGGTTAGGTAATAGGCTTAGTATGCGAATGGTTCCGCGTTTATACCAAACCGTAGGCGGAATATTTAAAGTTAACAAAATCGGTTTTATTATGCGTCGCTGACGTAGGACTTATCAATTAAGGTATAACTAATAGGAAAATGAGCGTAACATTCATTCATTATGTATGTTTTCAATCATTTTCAATCACAACTGGCAACCTGGCTGCCATCGGTTTGCTAATCGGAAGTCATCATTCTTATTTTTGTTCTACTGAACCAACTCCGTCAAATAAGGTTATGGGCACATTCAACCACCTCTCCTTTCACGTGCCATTCATAATTAATTTCATTAAGTATGAAATATTTATTAATTGGCCAATATTGGTACTTGACACACAAGTCTTGGTCCAATTGTGGGTCAAAATTGCAACCTATATTGGGCCCGACATGATCCCAATGTTTGACCTACCGTTGTTTGCCATTATTCTTTTTTTATTTTATTATATTATATTATTTTTTCGACATCAAGCGACATCAAGTAGCATATGCACCACGATTGAAAAGTGTTTTCTCCCGGGGGTGCATAATATACTAATTTCCGGGCCGTTGAGATGAGGCGTTCGAGCCGTAGGCCAGATCTGGCCAACCACATGAGCGAGAAAACCGTATCCAATAAGCCGGGATAGTATTTTTCTATAGTTATTTTCGCATTTTCGAGTTTGGAAAATATGTAATACCAATTTCCAGGCGAGAAGTCGTCAGAAGCAGTACGGAAAAATGATTTAGAACATTCACATTCCACGGATTCTTTTCAATAATTGTACAAAACTAGCAAATTAAACAAACAAACTGGGGGAACAAAAGCAATATCAACGTGAAATTTACACGAAATATGATATTGAATAACGATCGTATTTTGGAAAAGAGAGGATAATTAAAACATAAAACGTGGGTTTTTGTACACGAATGTGCCAGAATCATTACAAAGAAAATTTCGACCAAAAAGAAAATTACATTAGAACAGGGGCTGAACAGGCTGAACAATGAGCTGAAATTGCGCCCAGAAATGCTTTCCAGCAATACCCTACTTATGTAACAAAATGGAAAACTCCAAGCTTCAGCTTGAGTTATTTTCAATCTTGATTTATAAAATTTTTCGAAATCATTGACAATCCATTTCCTACAGAAATACATGTATGGTGCTAAAAGATCGTATTAGTCATTTCCGGCGGAATTAGCGAATTGAAAAATCAATTGGTTGGATGACTTCTATTCAGTAATAAAAATTGCAAGAATAACTGGAGTTTATAGAAAATTACGACAACTTCAGATCACTGATGGAAAGTCAAAGTTAATGGAATTACCGAGACAGGTGAGGAGTGGAAAATTTAGGTTTTCCGAAATTTCGAAATGACCTTCAAATGAAATTGAGCGCAAAAGTATTCGAAAAATTTTATTCAGTGAGCCTAGCAATTCTGTATTAATAAATCACTTATCGCGATTTGGAAATTGAATCGGTAATGAACCGAGTTGCCTAGTTCTCACTGATCTGATCCTCCGTAGAATGAGAACGATGATGAATAATTAATTTTGTTTCAAATTTAAAAAAAAACGGAGGGCAAGTATAATGAAACGGCATCAATGATGTCGAGGCTGTAATCTGATTGGTTACAATGAAAATTAAGAGAAAAAATGTCTGCAATTCTAAAAAAATTTGTTTTGTCGCATGGAACCAAATTAATAACATTTTGGAATCGTATGCAAAATTCGATTAGATTGTAGATGAAGGATCAAAATTTCCGATTAATGGAATCCTTGAATTGAATAATGAAGATCATGAATACAGAGAAAATAATTGCAATTTCAGTGAAAAAGCATCAGAACTTCGCAAATAATTTTCCCAAACAACTAATTGAGACTTTTTACAGGGAAGTAAAGAGCAATGAAGGCCAAAACAAAATATTGGAAATTCGCGGTAATATGAAATTTCACGATTATTATGTCGAACTCCAAAGATAATTCTGACATAAATTATAATTGGAGCTATGGAGTATCAAATTTTGATCACTATGCACAGATATTCAAAAATAGGAAAGCATTTCTTGATGAATTGAAAAATTGAACTAGTAACCAAATGATATCTATTATTTTCATTGATATTAACATTCATCATGAGAACGCAGATAAATCATGAATTTTGGAGAAAGTGAAATGAAAGAAACATAATAAAAAGACGTCAACGTCGCGGTCCGCCGGCGACTGCGGTTGCGCTATTAATGATGTAATGCAGGGCATGGTTTTTTGGTATAAATTTGTAGTTAAATTGCCGACATTTTTTTCTTTGCGATTGGATGAGCTCAGTTAACATGGTTAACATTCTTGACGTTAAGCGCACAAAATCCGATAGTTTTTCATTAATTTATGTTCTCGGTTGAGCAGTGCGTAAACATTTCGATATGTTGCTCCGGGCATTTTTACGCATCCATTGTTGTATTTTTATGAGCAGCTGAATTAATTTAAGGATTAAAGTCTAAATTGGCTGGACTAGGTCATAAAACAGTTTTAGAGACAAGAGGAAGAAATGCTGAGAAATGACTACAATCGCAGATTTAACTCAGTGGCAATTGTAATTTTAATTACTAAAAAACCAGAGCATATTATATTGTTATTTGGCCGAAAAAAAAGTTCTGATTCATTTAGATGCATTCGTTTCCTGCTCGTTCCCCATTAAGCGTCTTCTGATTAAGTTCCGGAAATAACTATTCTGATTGTTTACTCTGGCATCAGTCAGGTAGAAAGTCTCATTTTATTTATTATGACCAAAAATCTCATCACTAATCTTTTTCATTCAAATAGAAACTCATAAAAAAAAGACAGCAATTACCCTGTGCACTGTTTTCTCAAGTAATTCAAGAAAAACTGTACAAATTCGGCTCTCGAAGACTCTGTTTGCTCCAAATCCGGGAGAACAATGTCCTAGAATCCAAACATTAAGCCATTTATATATGGGTATAACTTATTTCCATTTAATCTGGCACTTAGAAATTAATACACACGTATGGTTTATCAGTCGTCAGCCACTTGAGAATTACTTCCGTCGTCAATTTACCATTTAAAACGCCATTCAATACATTGGTTATCATTTTTATCCTTTTGAGTGAACAATTTTTTTTTTGTTTTACCAGGTTTTTTTTTGAGTGAACAATCTAACAATGAAATAGGGTCCACTGCTTATGTCTTTTGATAATGGTCATCCCTGCCAACAACACGTTGGAAAACTGTCAAGATTTGTATTTATTGTTATTTCGGTAGTTTAACTTCACAATTGCATTACAGCATGAAGTTCTGTTTTGCAGATGGAAAAAAATTAAAAATACAATCTTATGTATGGCCTGGAAGTTTTCGTCAGCATGTCTGAATAAAAATCACCAAAACTATCGAATTATCGGTTGCGACAGACTCAGGTCAGGGAAATAGACTAATGGTGTAACTCTCCTGTGGGGTATCGAAGTCCAAACGATGAAAAATCATTGGTAGTAAAGCGACGAGGGAAAGATAGCGCCACGATCGAACATCGACCGGTAAGGCAGAGATTATTGGCAGTGTAAGGCTCAATTTTTCATCATGGTAAGCATTTATTGTCAACTGTAGTTAACTCGTAACAAAGATATTCTTTGCTCGCAATTAAAGTTAAATTGAGGCACCGGATCTTACCGCCATACACCTTGCACATTAATAATCCGAAATCATTAATTTAGCTATGGAATAAGTAGGAAATCAGTTGGGTAAATGAAGGACACCATTTTTAGAATTCAGAACTATCTCAATCAATTTTCATTGATTTTCTTAAGTTAGCGAAATAGACCGCGAAAAAATTTTTTTTTTGTTTTTAGTAATGGAATTTATATAGAATGATTTTGGGGAATCAAGCTCGATAATTTTTCCAATTTGGGAACGTCTTTTTTTTTATAATATCGTTAAAAATTATAATACTAATGATTCTTAATGTTGCACGAAATGTGGCACGAAATGATTTTGTACTCTTCATCAATGCTCTGTAATAATATAATAATTGTTTCAAGTAAGTAAAATTCTAGTAAATCAATCTCCTTTTGACAATAAGTTAATTCACTTGTTGAACAAATTTTTATTAAATTTTTGTTTTGCTGTTAACTAAATGTATAAGAAAACGTAACTGCAAATAATGTTTACCTTGCACAAGTTACTTTCCTTATATATGAAGGAGAACTTGCGCTTTTGTTTTTCTTTTTTTCCCAAGCAGGCACTACGTTGATGCCTCTAAATTATACCTTTTCTACTTAATTTTCTCCATTTCTGTTTTTTTTTGCTGGATAAAGTGTTCATCACCATTGTCATGGAGATGAATGTTATGATTAATGACAATAATGCTGTCAATTGACCATTTGTTCCATTTTTACGTTTATCAATAAACAATTTCCTAATTTGAAATATGTATGCCTAGTAAATAAAACTTGATTCTCAGTAATTCTAAATATAATTTATGTCGAAATTGTCTTGCGAATCTGGCACAATAATCATAAATGTTCATACGACAAAAAATTTCCAATTTGTTTCAGGCGAGTTCATCCCTCTTTACTCCCCTGAACAGGGTCTCAATTATTTGTCTAGCCAAATTATATGCGTGGTTCTGATGTCTTTTCACTGAATTTCAGAATATTTTCTCCTTATTCATGACTTTCACTATTCCATTCAAAGATTCCGTCAATCAGAAACTTTGTTCCTTCATCTACAATCCAATTGAATTTTGTATAAGATTCCAAAATATTAATTGGTTGCATCTCATAAGAAAAATTTGTAGCATTGAGGAAATTTTTTTTAATTTTTATTTCAACCCATCAGATTACAGGCGCGACATCATTGATGCCGTTTCATTAAACTTGTTCTCCATTCTTTTTTTTTCTGATTAGTAACAAAATTAACTATTCGTAACCGTTCTCATTTTACGAAGTATCACATCAATGACAACGATCACCTTTTATAGATAGGATTCAATTTTAAAATTTCCATAAGTGATTTGTTAATGCACAATTGCTATGCTCACTGACTACATTTTTTAAAAATAATGTAGAACTGAATTTCCTTTGAAGGGCACTGATTTCGAAATTTCATATCAGGACCTTTCTACCAATTCCTGTACGCAAATTAACGATTTTTTTGTGCTCTTCCGACCATTTGTGTCTAGGAAACGAGATTTCCCAATTATGAGAGGTCCATCGCTTCAATTGACCAGGTTTCTCGTGATTATCAATTTCTCAAAAATCTGTGATCCCGAGAAATTTTAGGGAGAGGGTTCCATAATTTGGGGAGATCTCGTTGATTAATTATTCATTTTTTTAATTTAAAGCGTATAGTTAGCGAAAATTTCTTATTTTTCATTTTTCTGATTTGAAAATTACATAGAATCATGTGGGGATTCGATTTCTGTAGAGTTCATAATTTGGGAAATTGACAACGGGTTGATAATTAATAAATTAAATAATTAAATCAATTTCCAGGCGGGCGCGTGCGCGCATGCATACCCATTCCATCGTTCATCATCGGGCGCACTAATTAATGGTAACCATTAATTAACCTATGAAATAATCAGGAAATACTTTGGGGAAATTTAGGGAGTAGGCTTCATAATTTGGGAAAACCTCGTTAATTGATTATCAATTTTTTAAACTTAACATACGTAATTAGCGAAACCTTTTTTTTTAAGGAAGGATCATTTGGGGAATTGATCCCAACTCTTCTTTTAATTTCAAAAATTGAAAAAATTTCAATAATTAATAAACCAGTTCATTGTTGCTAGTTTTTGAAAAATCGAAAATCAAATAATGCACTTATTCATATTGACTTCCACTAAAATTTTTCCCATTTTTTTTAACTTCAAACATGTTTGTCAATTATTTACTTGCTGTGTTATTATCATAGGAAGATCGTCGTTTTCCAATTATATTTCACCGATGCACAAAAAAACGAAAAATTTATGTTTCACTCAGTTTTCCCTTGTTTTCTTTCAACACTTAATGTTTTTCTTTCATTTGACAAATCACATTATTTTGGATTTTTGGCACGAAATAACAGAGAAATGGAAGAAACATTTCCACTCTAATTGTCTAGTGTTCTCTGTAAGAAATGACGTTGTGTGAATGTTCTTTGAATTAAGTTTTCCCCTAATTTTCATGTCTCTACAATGTTTTTACAAGGAAAAACGATAAAAATTGAAAATAAATCACAATCCAATTTATCGCTATTTCGACAACTCAGTGATCGAAGTTTGCTTTCTGATTCATATTCGATTGCTGCTGGATTTATCCTCTGTAAATTTAGTTAACAAGTTTTCTATGAATAATATTCAACTTTTTTTAAACGAGTGTCGATAACGAAGGAAGGAACGGGTGTGGACGCGCGCATGCGCAGGGCTGGGAATTGATGTAATTATTTAATTTATTAATTATCAACTCTTTATCAATTCCCCAAATTATGAAATCTACTGAAATCGATTCCCCAAATGATTCTACGTAATTCCCAGTTTAGAAAAATAGAAAATAAGGAATTTTCGTTAACTATACGCTTTAATTAAAAAAAATAAATAATTAATTAACTAGATCTCCCCAAATTATGAAATCTACTCCCTAAATTTCCCCAAATTATTTCGAAATTATTTGAAAAGTTAATTAACGATTCCCATTAATTAGTGCGCTAAGTAAACGGCGGTGAGGTATTGCCAAGCTTTGATGTCGCCGACACTTAAACAGGGGACAAGTACCTTCAGACGCCGTACGTAGCGCTGTATAACGCCTTCTCCCTATGCGCGTTTCG